TTATTCAGTAGGTCAGAAAAAAATGACTCATTATGTAGTGATATAAAGAAGAGAACGACAGATAATCAGTAGAAGATAACGAAAAGGTCATTAAGTGCATTTATTAGAAGTAAAATCGCCATGAAAATAAACATCTCGAAAAAATTTTTTAAGAAAACTGAATCGGGTCGAATGTGTTAATTAGATTTTTAAAAATAAATTTCCATAAATTAGCACATTTATATCTACAAGTAATGAATCTCTCGGTTTTATAATCAATCAAAAATACAAAACAACTTTATTACATTTTTATCTTTATTTTATTGATGACTGCAAAAAAGAAGATAATTGTTCTATAATTGAATCAGTACATCAAAGCATTCTTGTCATCACTATAGTCGGAGCAGAGTTTTGATTTAAGGATGAAATTTTGGTATGACTTTTCACTACGATTGAGCAAGTTTACATGCGAATTTTGTTATTGTGTTTCATTTGACCAATCGCTTCTAGTGTTTCAGTCGTTTGTGGAATAATTTTTGACACAGCGTAGACCGAAATATCGGTTCTGTCTTTTTTTTCTGCTTCTAATTCACTTTTTATGAAGTTGTATGTATGTTTCAGTCCTTGACTTAACGAGGTTGAAGGTGCCCACTTCAACACTTTTTTTATTAGTGTATTATCAGAATTCCTTCCCCTAACACCCTCAGGTCCTGGAATATGTTTAATTGTAACAGCAACGTTTTCAATTCCGCAGATTAAGCCTACCATATCATTAATGGAAGTAATTTCATCTGAACCAATATTAAGCGGCAGAGCATAATCTGATCGCATCAACCGTATTATTCCATCGATGCAATCATCAATATAACAAAATGATCGTGTTTGTTTTCCGTCTCCCCACACGGTAAGAACACCGTGGTTTTGTCCTTCATGCGCCACTAACACTTTTCGACATAATGCTGCTGGAGCTTTTTCTCTACCTCCTTTCCACAGACCTTCAGGCCCATAAATGTTGTGAAATCGCGCAATTCTAGTTTGCATTGTTTCGAAATCTTTTGAATAATGCATTGCAATTTCTTCTGATACCAACTTTTCTAAACCATATGCATCTTGTGGTTTTGCAGGCCATGCTTGTTCTTCTTGGAGTGCCGTTATGTTTTCTTCAGTTTGAATATGTTCAGGATAAACACATGCTGATGAAGCATAAAAAAATCTCTGAACATTATTCTGTCTGGCAGCTTCTATCATATTGAACGAGATCATTGTATTATTGAATAAAATTACTGAATTATTCGATTGAATGTATCCCATTCCTCCCATATCAGCAGCTAAATTAAAAACCCAGTCACAGCCTTTAGTTGCCACTAAACAATTATCCAATGTACGCAAATCCATATGAAGGAATTCGTTACAGAATTCCTCTTCCTGAAAATATTCATTTCTTTTCCAATCAGCACAAATAACATGATGACCATCTTTTAGCAAGCGGCGACCTAAGTGACTACCAATGAAACCCGCTCCACCAGCTACTAATATACGAAGGTGACTATTGCCATTAATAGAATGTTCAATTGTTTCCATTCTATACTTTTTATCTAATGCTTTTAGTTGTTTCAGCTCCATTTTGGAATCGCCATTTCCTAATAATATGATGCGAGTAGATTCATTGTTTTTCTCAATTTCTTCTTTGTTCAGCAATCGCCAACAATCAACTACGTACAAAGTTTTTTTCCTTGTACGATTGAACTTGATATTTTTCCAGCTGTTTGAAGCAGTGGTAATTAGCAAAATATCAATGTTCTGTTCATAAAGAAGGTTATCAACAGAACTAACAAATTGTACACGTCTGTCACATATTTCAGAAGCCAAGGGCATAGCCAACGGATCATATGCAACAACATCAAAGTTACCAATAAGCTTATTGGCTATTGCACAGGCAGCTGAGCATTCTACAACAGGTGTATCAGGCTTGTAAGACAATCCCAATATACCAACTTTTGTTCTGATGAACGGGGCATCACAAAAACGAATTTTTGCTATTTGTTCACATATTCTTAGTAGTCTTTCGGTTTGATAACTATTTAATTGGTCAGTTGCTTCGGCTAATAATGCATTAGCAAACACAGATTTTGCCAAGGCAGCAAACGCACGATTATCTCTTGGGAAACACGGTCCTCCGTATGCTAAGGCACCTTTTAAATATTTGTGCCCGATGCGGGAATCACAACCAACTGCAGCGCTAACAATATCAGCATCAGCTCCTGACAGATTCTCACATAACTCACTGAGCATATTAGCATAAGTTATTTTGGTTGTCACATATGTATTGATGGAAATTTTAGTTATTTCTGCATTGATGAAGTTCATTCGACGAAATGGTAGCGGTCGTTTCACGATTGTTTTTAAATATAATACTTCCAAAGCATCTCCTATACGTTTGTCACTTTCACCAATGAGAATAAAATCTGGATTCAACATATCTCTAATCACCTGTCCTAGTGCAATGAACTCAGGATTGTATGCCAAACCTATTTCATTATCTCGACACCCAACTTTTCGACCAGATGATAATTCCAGAGTATCACGAATAACCCCATCCATTGAACCAGGCATCACTGTTGATGTAACAACTACCTGATGATATTTATCACATGACTTAATAACTTTTCCGATTGCTTTAATAGCCGAAAGCACGTAATCATTGCTAAAAAATCCGGTCTCTGGATTTGATGGTGTTGGAACAATAATCATTGTCATATCTGTTTCACTAATGGCCTTGTAATAATCCATTGTAACTTCGATGTTAGTCTTGTATTTGTTAATCAGTTCTTGTAATTGTGGTTCAGACACAGGGGCTTCTCCTCTTTGCAACGCATCAACAAACTGCTTGTTTACATCCAAACCAATCACGTGATAACCTTTCGATGCGAAAACAGCAGTCATTGGACTGCCCAGTTTTCCTAAGCCTATTACACTGATACGAAGACTTGTGTCGTCCATATTTAGTGAATCTGCTGAAATAAATGCACTGTAAGTTTTAAATAAATTTTATTGTCTAGAAAATCGAGTTTGAAAAAATTTAAACGTTTCGAATAATTGTTAATCACTGAACGTTTTCATCATAAACAGATAATGCATGATTTTCGGTGACGTAAAATTGAAATCCGATTTTCTGAAGAAATTGTTTTCGAACGAATTGGAAACTCAACAAGAATTTTTAAAAATGCTTGAAAATTAATTCCAATTTCGCAGAAAATCAATCTAGACTTTACAGAAACGCAAAAGTCAACATTACTTTTCGGAAAATCATTTAAAGAATAATGAATATAAAGTCATTGTTTAGTCACATCTGTAAGTTAGTCAACTTTGTCAAGAATTCATTTTTCTTCCGCAACTGCAATGCGTGTATGTGTTAGATAAACTGCAGCTAGCATATACTAGTTCGTCATATAATAACGAAAATAAGCAATATTTTCTTTTGTATGGGTCATCAGAGACAATAAATATAATTCTTTTTTTCTGAAAATATTTCCGATATTTCTCTTTTCTTAACCAGACCCTATCCCTTATAGACCGTCCCTGCGTTCAGAAATAATGATTAATTTTGAAACGGTTTTCTTATCACAAAAGAGCTCATTTTATAAAGTTACACTTTCACTCGAGCTTCTGCATATTTCATTAGGTACATAACAGCGATTCCATAATAGCTATGATATTACTTTGCTCTAGAACGACACTCTTCTTTAAATATACGTATACAAAAGTTCTTGTGAGATAATAATGTTGCTCTTGTTGATATCTTTAAAGTTTCATATCTCAAGTAATATTTTATTGTTTTTAATTGTATCTACGCTGTGGTTCTATAGGCCGAGTTAAAACTATAAATAGAATTGCATAAAAATGAAAAATGATCATAGATATTCTATTTTGTAAAAATGTTCCGAACAGAGATGTTGACTGGTTAATTCGTTTTCATTCAACTCGAACGACCCGCGGCCCACCGGGCAAGTTTGACCTCTGACGGGTCACAGATACCATAGGTCGGGTTGAACTCAGTTTTACTCGTTTACAAATTTTGCCTTTCATTCGAGTAATACAAAAGTTCTGTATTGATTTTATGTTTTGATATAGAGCTGCGACGAAATAGCGTCAAGACTTTATTGTTTTTCGGAAAAAAAGAGTAAGTGCCTACTAAAAAACATTCAATATAGAACTCGATTAAAAATTTTCTTCAAAGACCAGAAAAAAATTTAAATAAAAGGCTTCGGAAACTCTTGCGCAACTAAATTTTGAACTTACAAAATATAACATCGTATTAGATCGATGATATATATATATGTATATCGAATGCAAGTTGTACCAGATAGGGATATAGCATTGTTACTGTAAGAAAGAACTCTGTATGTTTTATAACGGTAAAATACATGCTTATATCATTTCCTCTCGTATCAATGGTTTTCATCTTCGTCGCTTACAGTCGCAAAAGTGACGCATATTCCAAGAGAAAGTTAGTCAGACGCTATAAATTTTATAAAAAAAACAAAATTTACTGAGTTTTCTGCTAAACGATATCATTTATAATAGGATAGAGATTCTCTGTTAGATCTTGAGTCGAAAATTTGTTTTGCTTCACAAATCTTAAACAGACAAAATGAAGCTTTTTCGTTGCATTATCTACAATCTATTCTCTTGTATGCAAGACCAATTATTTTAATACTAAATCAAAACCTTTATTGTAAGGCACAATTGTATGCATGCGGTGTTTGAAAAGGCCGAAAGTAAAAAATAAAAAAAAACTCAAAGAAATACCTTTTGATAAAAAATTATAATCAAAGTTCTGGAAGAGTTTTCTGATGTCTTCTGTTCTAAAAATTTTCGGTTTTTAAAAAGAATTTCCAATCAAATTTTTTTAATGTGTTTTTCTACTAGACATTTTGCTCTTTCTAACGGAAGAACAATGAAGTCTGTACGACATTCCATTACAGCGCTATATTGAAAACAATTAATACAGAACTTTGGCATACTCGAGAATAAGTGTGAACATCTATCTAAGTTTGATTAAAGGGTGCAGGGAAAAAGAAGAATCACATCCACAACACCCTCAAGTTGTATCTGTTTTATTGACATTGTCTGCATGGCATATACTGTTAATTTTACTTCAATATTGCTTGTCTTTCATTTTTATTGAAGTCTTCTATTACGTATGTCTATGCTCAGAAACCATAAATAATATACTAATGATGTTTGTATTAACCCGTCGGTTAGCTCGTGGGCAGTCCCTGACGGATTAGCGATTCTTGAGCCCGTAGGGTAGTTCGCGGGTGGAACAAAACAATCATTCAACGTATGAAGTAGGCTAAGTTCAGACTCGAACGGATTGAGTTGAAAAAAAAATCAGTCACCGTTATCTCAAGTTCGAAATGATAAATCCATTTCGATATTCTAGAAATGTTTATATAAATTCGAACATCATTTTCTAATTAAAAATATCAAAACTTGAATTTTAAACTTTCTTGAATATCGTATTTTCAAGAAAACTGAAATTCATTACCGAAGTCGTATGAGCCTTACTTGAATATTGTTCTCTGTTCTCTGTAACTTTTTTTTTTGTACAATGTGTGTAAGGAATTTTTCGAAATAGCCGAAAAGACCTGCATCTGATGAACGAACTATAAAAACTCTCGAGTGAGCTGAGTTACCCCAAGATGAAGTCCACTATTATCAAGTATTCCGAAAATCAAGAACACAAGGCGAGGTAAACAAGCATTGTCAATGTGTAAGAGAAAGGAATAGGAACAGTATACTTTCATTGAAGCAATTTCGCTCAGAATCGAGACCTTATTTAATTTGCGTAAATCATAGATAAGCTTTTAGAGAATAAAATATTTGCTGCATTCTTCAGAAAAAATCTCTTTATCAACAATGGGAAACTGCGTACTTCAGCTCAATTTTTACACAGATAACAAGCGAAACGATTGATTTTATTACTGGATCAAGAGTTCCCGACAGTGAACCTATCGATTCTTATTATAATTTTTCTATTAACCCTTTCTTATCTGAAAGCATCAATAGCTCTGGGCAAAAGTAATCGTGGCACCTGAACTGGTACTATTTTTCACGATTTTAAGCTCATATTTTGGGTGTGTGTGGACCTTGATAAACCTTGATCGCAAGCACCTACCTAACCTCAATTGACTCAGACATACTGAAATTATGAGTTGAGCAAGATCTTCACCTGGTAATCCCTATATATCAGCCTCTTTTGCACCTCTATTTTCGCGCTACTCGTTATTTCGAACTCCAAGAGACTTCAAGAGACTTTTAAGACTTTAGGAGACTTCAAGACATTTCACAGACTTCACGGAACTTCAGCAGATTTCAAGAACTTTGAGATTATATGAACGTTGGAGAAACTGTAGCAACCGATTGTAGGTGGGCGTGAATGTGGGATGTGAGTGTATTCGTGAAAGAGTTAAGGAAGAAACCGGTGATTTAAATTATCCCTAAATCAGTCGAAAATCATCAAAAATCAACTGAGTTTCAAAGATTTTGAGTAATTCGCTGTGGCTTTTGATGATTTCCATTCATTTTCAGTGAGTTTTTATTTTGCCAAACTCATCTAACCCATCGAAACTCACACAACCCTCTAAAAATCACAAATCACTGTTCTTCCCTTGAAAAGGGTTGTGTTGATGTCGATATGCGTATTCGTGTCAGCCGCAGGCACAACCACCTCACTAACAATGTCATGATGCCTTGAGTAATTAACTGTGATGTTTTTAAGTTAAAACCAGCTGCGAATTTATCAGGAGATTCAGAAAACAATAAAAGTTCCTATTTTTCCTCAAATAAAACAATTGGATACCAAAATATGTCTTTGGATTTCTGATGAATTTTTCATCCACTAAATGTAAGTAAAACATTTCAGAAGCCCTTCATAATACTACATGGGACTTCGAGAGACTTGATTACACTTCACAGGACTTCAAGAAACTTCAGCAGACTTTAGAAGACTTCGAAAGACTTTCAAGACTTCATGAAACTTCACAATTAAATTCTCATTTGTTTTCCTCTAAGTCAGACGCATTAAACTCGAGATAACTCCTATCAGTTTACTTGACAGCTTTGCCAGAAAGCCCTCATGAAACCATGAGTTTGTGCTCGAATTTTCAGGGCTATAGCTCTGACTGAAAGTGGGACAGAACTACAGTATGATTCATGTATGGCACAGCTTGTCAGCTACTGGGATCTTGGGGGGCATGTTTCAGCACTTCGATACAAAGAGCTGTGTAAGGAGATGTCTGTTTTTTGGTTAAAACATTGCCTCTAGCTTGTCTTCGAGTGGTCAAACAACCACAGCATTTTCCGCAGAATGTAATAAGATGCACGGTTGCAAAAGTGATTTCTGCTAGATAATCATGAATTATGCTGGTAATTGTTCTTTTCCTATTCGAAGCTTTATGAAGATCGGTGAGAAAACTTCATCATGCTGGTTAGCAGTTGCTCCCCCGATTATTCTTGTTGTTGGAAATCTAACGTTAAGGCATGATATATCTACAATCTTATTCAGAGGCAATCAGCGTCCCGAATGGAATTTCATGTTCAGCATAAACTACTCAGCCAGATCTGTTGGTAATAATTTTCACTGTCGTTTAATTTCTGTCGTCAGCGTTTTCATATTTCTTAATTATAGTCGTAGCAAAGTGTCTAAATAATACAGCAGCTTCAACATTTTCACAAAATTAGAAAACTGTTTGGGGTCGTTACGTTCAAGCGGAAACCATTGACGACTAAATCCACAATGAGCTTGAGCTATGAGTAGCAGTGTGCTTGTAGAGTATGATCACAGAAGGAAAATTCTCGTCAGACTCGTACTAAAAAAGCACATGATACCGCCAAATTCACTAGATGTCAGAAAGCATCATACATTGATCTTCATGGGAAATATCAGTGTTCTTCGAATTGTGCGTCAATTAAAATTAATTCTGCAGTCATGTGTC